GCTGTCCCCGTGCCCCACGTGGTCCTGCCGGAGGTGGCTCGGGGGACGCGGCGCGAGTGCGCCAGGTACCTCGACGTGAACTTTTGTTTTTTAAAATCTTTTTGTATTCTCTGAAAAGGAGATTATGTTAGGCCCCGTAATCCGTTCTTTTTCTCCCGCTGCCTTGGCACTTCCGCTTCCGGTCGGGCCCACGGCCGCGTCTCCACGCCCCCTTTGTTTCCAAAATGGCGGTTGTGAGGACTCGGGGCGGGGGGGCCCCCTTTCCCTCCTTCACGTGGTTGAGGACAGAGCTGTTTCGGGGGACTCTTGGAGGCCACGAGCCCGTCTCATACCTCTTTTCGTTTTTGCTGATTTGCTGCGACCTCTCCTGCCAGGTGGTTTCTGCCCCGTCTGTTGGTAGTGGGGCGCCTCATATTAACGTGTTGGGCGCATGTTCCCTGAAGCATCTGCATTCTTTGAGTGTCGGCACGCACACATCCTGCATAGGCGGAACTTTTGGCGGTCCCGAGAATCGCGATATGGAGTGTTTGAGACAAACCTCAAATCATGTACGATCCGAAACTCGGGGCACCTAATAATACTCAGCCTTAGATCTCGATGTAGAGATAAGGAAACAGGTTCTGAGGGAGGAAGAGGGATCTGGCCCACTGCGCTAAACTCTTCCCTTAACGGGGAAGGTGGGAGGCAGGTTCCTTTCAGGGTATCGAGAATTGTGATGGGTGAGAACAAAAAGCGTGGGGCCTTGCTGATCTTAGGGATTCCGAGAATATTAGAAGTGGGAGAGTTGTTCCATGTTTCAGTTTGAGAGTGAAGAAACACAGGACTAGGGAAGGTTGGGGACTTGTTTCATTTCTTTTGAGGCTTCAGCTGCCCATGTTCCTAGGTCGTTCGGAGGACGAAATGAGGGCTAAGGAATTTTCCTTTGAACCCAGGGGCTGTATTAGGAAACAGTGTCCTGGGGAAGAAATAACGTTTACTGAAGGTCTGACTCTGTCTTAGGTGATGGACTGTTCAAGAGCATAGGCTTTGGAGTTGAGCACATCAGGGGTTTAGATACTTGCTTTGTTGGTTAGTAACTACTTTTAATACGTTTGTCTCTCTTTTTTTTTCCTATTTGTAGACTGATTATTATTTTCTTCTCACTCCGTTTTGAGAAGATTAGTAAGGATTATAGTAACGATAGGTGTAGTTAAACTCTGAGCGCTTATGTGTGCCAGGCTCTTCGCTAAACTCTTAGCGTGATTTTATTTAGGGGATCCTTGTAACAGCCCTGTGAGGTCAAAATGATTTCCACCTCTACTGGGGAGGAAACTGAGGGCTCAGAAAAGTTAAAAACTTCCTCAGGGCTCAGCTAGTCAGAGGCAGAGCTGAGATTAAATGGGGTAACGTAAAGTGTGTGGCATGTGGCATGTGGCTTGGTGTACACTAGGTGTGCAGTAAGCGATATTTGCAATTGTAAAACTCCATGCTTAAAGAGGAGGGTCTTCCACTCACAGAGATTGTGTCACAGTTGGGAAAGGGCAGGAAAAGGTGCTTTCCAAATGTCATTCTGTCACACAACACCTGAGTGGAGTAGATGTGACCCTCGTTTACAGAGAAAAAACCAAGTCTTAAAGGTTCAGTTGTTTTTGCATGGTTTTTGTTGGTAAGCAGAAAAGCAGGTACTGATTCTGAGCTCTGGCTGGCTGCAAGGCCAAGTTCCACTCTGCTGGGCCACCAAGTGGAGCTGATCGGGCCGTTCTTTGAGGCTCTCAGATGGTGCTTCACTGGTTCTCCCGGGGTTTCCCCCTTGGTGCTGATAGGGCCCTCCCTGAGACCTGGCACAGCTCCTGGGTTGCCGGAGCTGCTCCCATAAGATGACCACAATACAGTGTTTTGAGCAAATGAAGCTCTCTTGGTTTTTACCTGTCCAGCAT